TTTGTTTGGCCTGCAGTGTGCTGCCGAGTGTTTCTGGGGATGGTGCTGCAGGCTGGTTCAGTTGCCCGAAGGTTTAGCATTCCTAACTCGCAGCATAACAGCGAATTTTGTCTGAAGCCCTGTTTTCCCACTGAACTGCCCCTGTAAAGAGCTCAAAGACTGAGACTCTCATATGCTCCTAACCAGACTGCTCTTGAGAAATCTGCAGGTGGAATACCAAATAAAACTGAAATGTGTGAGAATATACTGGAGCGAGGTATTTCATCTCTAAACCTTAATGCTGGACAAGCAGTTTGGATATATTCTGTATCAGAAAGAACATTAGGAGGTAGATTCAGAAATTGATTAAATCAAATGTGTAATTAGAAGATACAGACTTTCTGGGAGAGGAAAAATAAGGCAAAACAAACTCCTAAGTATGAATGTTTTGATTCTTTATCTTTTTATGTGTGGGGTCAATAAGCCTGAGCACAGTACATTAAAATCCTTCTATATAATATTCTAATAAATGTACAGTTGTAACGGGTATTGAAATCAATTCTTTATAAAGATTTTTGGGAGATGCCTTTTTCTTTCTCCAGAGAATAATAGAACAAAATGTTTAATCCCCAATGCTTATCTTCCTATATTTGGGAGAGATTGAGTAAATAGAAGATTTGATAAGCTTCTGTCTCTGGAGGTAGAAATTACTCTCTGCAGCCTTCCAGCCTGCGGGGCTTTTTACTCAGTACAAGAATATATGGTGCATGTTGTCAAAGGCTGGGCATAAACCAGAGAGAAGCAGAACTGGTGCTTTGCTGCCAGTGGCATCTTTAGATGAAGGAGAAGATTGACTGGGGAGTTTGGAAAAGTTATTTGAAAGATTGATGCTTGGAGTTTGAGGAGAGGAGCAACTCCATTTGTAGGTCAGTACTTAAACCTATTAAGAAGATCGGGGTGATACAAATAATGTGTGCTTCTAACACTGCCTTTGTAAAGGTAAGGGGTTTTAACCCTCCAATTCTCCAGCAAACCTTAATGGTGTTAACTATAGATGCTGTTTTCATTATATTGAGATGAAATCTTTTTCCTTTTAAAGCTCACTGTTGGAGCTTTCTCATGGCTTATTTTTTTGAAACTTGTCATTTGGGAGAAAGGGGATTAACTTCATAAAAAAATGGACAGGCTCATCTGCTGCTCCCGCACTGCTGTGGTCTGCAAATGTGCATAGGTGACATCCTAGCAACTGGGTAACTGTAAATCCTGAATAGGGGTCCCTAACTTTTCTGGGGGGTAAGTGGGGTCTTTCTGAGGAAACTAGTATGAATACGAATTGTAACCCTCTTAATGAGTTGAAAAAAACCAGCAAGGGAGGTTTTTGCCCTTCAGTAGCTACTGAAGGCAATAGTTACTGTTAGTTATTATGAATAAGCAATATTAAAATAATCATTTGAAGAAATCTCCTGGCAGAAAAGTACAGCTGCAAAGACAAGGGTTAATAAGTGCCATGAAGGTAAAGCCTATTCATCTTGTTTTTTCAGAGTTCATCTTATACAAGGACCTCCTTTTCTTCACAAAGAAAAGAAATAAAGAGGAGAAAAATCCTTTTCTGATAAGCATTTTATTTAGTAAATTCATTACTTGGGCGTTTTGGTTTTATTTTTTTCAAGTTTTGGAAGTTTGAAGTGATTAAAAACCCGATAAAAACCTTAAAACGTGAGCCATTCAGCTGGTGCCTGCCCAGCACACGGGTCTTATCCCCAGCTGTTGTAAACCCGTGTTGCTTCACCATCGCTGGTCTGTACTGGCTGCTGCTGGTACTGAAAATGGCTTTTACATCAGACAGGCCAGTTGTGGAGCACTGAGTTGCTGGCTTATGCTCTTGAATGCGTGTCGATGAAATAACCTTTAGCTCTGAGACCATGATGAAGGGACAAACCAGCCTGCTGAGGTGAACACCAGAGGTGGCTTTACACAGCCTTACTGCTGAGCTACCGGGGTTAAGTCCAGCCTTTGTAACACCTACTCAGCCGGCAACTGCAGTTATTAAGAGCAGCATGAGATGTCATTAGGAGGTAGTTGGGAGCATCCCTTCCATTCAGGGGTGGGGGGCACGATTCATGCCAAAGCGATCAAAAGAGGCTTTTATCTCATTCCAAAGTGTGGCAAAACCACTAGATGACCTGCCCTATATAAATGATATCTTTTATTTAAGTTTCCCAGTTCAGTTGTTGATTCTCCTGCTGTGAGATGTTTGCTGTTGCTTCCTACAGAGTATAGCAAATTGTGTAAATCAAGTAGTCAGAATTACAAACCCATGAAGAGTTTAATTTGTGCCCTGAAGGGAGGACCAGCCACTGGCTGGACTGCTTGTGAGTGGAGTCGTTAATAGTTCATCGGTAACGATTAAGCAGCTTGAAAATATTTGTCCTTTGAGAGTAACCTGAGCTCTGCTGTAAGGAAAAGAAAGGGGGCGGGGGGAAAGCGTGGGGTAGCAGCAGGATTAAAATGTCATTTAAATTGAATGTTGCCATTAGAAAGTTAGGGTGATTTTTCACCAGAAAATGTAATAAAAGTGTGTTTGCTCTGTCTTTTGAAAACACTTAAGATCGCAGTTTTATTGAATACAAAGAAATTAGTTTTGATTCATAAAAATTGACTGGCTACAAAACAATAATGTTTTTGGTTGCTGTTTGTTTAAATATAAGGAGATAAGGAGGAAGGACTTTGGTAAGGCTTTAAGAAAGAATTTGAATTTAACGTTAAAGCACGTGTGACACTTTTGCTGACTTGCACCAAATACAGCTATTGATGGCTTAAGTCATATGCAAAATACTGCATAATTAATTCCATGTTGACAGCCTTGGTGATTTAAGTCAGAAAACAACCAGCAGCCCTGCAAACCTTTCCACGGCCACTCCAATGCTATTCTTCAGGGACTTTCTCCCACATTAGTCATTTTGGGTCCACTTGATCTTTGAGACCTTTGCTGAGATTGCCGAAATGGCGAACATGCTCTGAAACTAATTTGACGCTGCAGAATTTTGAACAATAATAAGTTTTGGTTGTTGGTAGTCTGAGAATAGTACATGTAGTAATTCCAGGCTTGAGTTAAAGTGCTCCATTGCCTGTCCCTGGGAGGGAATTTGGCTGAGATAACAGTTTTAAGAGATGACTTACTGAGGAATTGAGAAGGATCTAAAATGTTCTGCCCAATACGGGGAGATTTTCCTCTTGTTTTAGACCAGGTGCTGAAAGCTTCATGCACATTTTTCTAGTTTTACTGTTGTAAATGCTGAATTGATTTCAATTGTATTAGTATATCTTACTGTTTAAGCAGAAGATACCCTGTGTTGACAGAACAGTTCAATGCCTTGCTCGTTCAAGAAAGAGGCTACAGACTCAAATAGTGGAAGAAATGTGTGGTTTTATATGTAGGCGATTTGCTTTAAGGCTTCTGTTAGGAGTGTCTTGCTGATTTAATAAATCTGCTGTTGCCTGAAAAGTACTTTTTCTTGAAGTCAACAGAAGAAACTTGCCCTAAACGAATTTGATGAGGTCTACATCTCAGCATTTTCATTATACAACACTTTGTAGATGCTGTGTGTATGTGACGTTGCCTTTTGGTCTAATTGCCTTCCATTCCCCCTACCTCCCCCAATACTTGGACATAACTAACTGTGGGAGAACTTGCTTAGGCAGGTTCATTTTGCAGACTTTTTTGAGATTTTGCTTTGAGCTGTGAAATGTCATGTTGAATTTAACTAACGCATCGAGTAAACCAATGATTATGATTGCAAAGTTGAATATAAAATATTTGAAGATCAGGGTAGAGGAAGGTGGCAAAAATTACCCATGCTGCTTTACTTACATGGATATTACTCAGTGATTAAACTGGATTATTTCTGAGAATAAGAATTCTGTCTGGCCCAGAATTTTGAGAGGTGGACTAAATCTGCTAATTAGTAGTCTACTAAAAAATATGCTTAGAAAGTTAGGCCATTTCTCAAGTTGTGAATGTATGAATATTAAGATGAAAGATTGCAAGATTATGGAAATAGAGAAATCCTTAAACTGCTTGCAGAGTAAGCATAAATCCTTTCTGCATTTCTTTGCAGTTAAAAATATTTCTTTTCAATACTGTGACTTGTACTCTGACCTACTAATTTATTAATATGTTTTTATTACATTTAGGCATCTCGGGTATTACTGTTAAGCTTTTCTTTCAGTGTATTACTATAAAGGAGTTCATGTAAAGAAAAATGTATGTGGTGTAGAAACTGCCCAGTGCTATTTACATGCCTTCTCTTTAAAAACAACTGTTTAATTTTTTAGATCATCACTGTAAAAATTATGTTTACTTGGGACCAGAGCTAAGTTTTTCCATAAATTATGTGTGAGCATATGCGGTGGCTTTTTGTACCTAGAAGTGAGTTTTATGAACTTACTTTTGTAAATGTGTTATCTAAGTACTATTTGTTAAAGTTGCTTGCCCCAGACTGTTTCCTGGCAGTTGTTAAAAGCACTTGCTAATGGTATGCTATATCCTAATTCAATACGCTTTGCTATCTGCTTCAAAACTGGTGAATTGCCTAGGTATCAAACAGTAGTAAATTTGTAAGCAATTTGCTGTACTTTGCTCTGAAAATTTTCTGGTGCATTAGTTATTGCAATTGTACTAGCTATGTTTCCAGTTCTATTGAACTTTGGTGAGTAAGGAAAGCCTAAAATGGCGTTTTAACACTCTGTGTTGTGCAAGTCAATGTTGACATTTTCCAAAAAAAGAGATTATGCAAGTCCTTTAAGGATATTATGTGTGCTTCTTGTGGGGTGTACTTTTGCCTTTAAGAAAAACAGCCATCAAAAAGTAGGAGAGAAAAAAATAATTTCCACATTGTATTTTCAGAAGCTTAATTTTGGGATTCTCTTACTTCTGGAATTACAATATAAAGTATGCCTAGAAGAAGGTAGATGCTACAATAAATCTACCTGCTAAGTATTGAATCCTTTTATATTTTCAGAAAAAAGCCAAAGGCCAGCTCCTGTTTGAACAGATCATGTATCATCTGGACCTTATAGAAAGCGACTACTTTGGATTAAGGTTCATGGATTCGGCACAAGTGGCGGTGAGTAGCAGTGCTTTTCTTTCTTCTTTTTTTTTTTTTTTTTTTTAAAGCAACAGTCTAAAAGTTAAATTTTAATATAGACAAAAATTCTATAAGAAAGCTGCCGTTTTTGAGTTAAGTTTAAGTGACCTCCAAGTTTAATTCCACCTCGAGCACTCTAATATAAGACAACACTATTGTCTCTTTCTTTCTTGTTTTCACTTGTTCTGTCTCACTTTCTGTTGTCATTAGGCAGGCTGGTCCAGTAGGACCCCAGAGCCTGGCGCGTCATGTAGAAATTCTTGATGCCTCTGATGCAGAGAAGAAGGGGCAAAACTAGAGTGTGTGCTTGGCCCTTTGTTGTTCTACAGAGTGGAGAAAGTTTTCCTTTGCCAATGCCATCAACTTTCTTGTCAGCAAAAGTCATCTTGTTAACGTCTGCTTGGGAAATAATCTTGGCAAGTGGGGTATACCTTTGATTTGCTCAAATCAGTTGTGACTCAGACCTGCAACTAGAAATTTTTGGGAGGATATAGGTGTGTTTGAATGTACCAGACAGTTGGAGTAGAGGGTTCTTGCAAGCCTGAGTTTGTTTGTGAAGTTTGTTGTGTGTTTGTAAAAATGTGACTGCTTTTGAAAACAGAAGCACAGCATTGTCTGTCAGAAGCAACCGCAGTTCTTACACTTGTGGGCTCTGCAGTTTCATATTCAGATATTTCTTATGGCCAAGTACTTAATCCTGCCCACAAGGATAGCTGCAAATTAAGTGAGGCATTAGACAAGGAGTGGATTTTTGTCTCTGTCCTGCATCCCTGTAACATAAACCTGTATTCACTTACCCTGACACCCCCAGGTAGAATGAGATCTGAGTTTTCATACTGTGTATGTCAATCTTATTTGTTAGATGTATGACTTAATTGTTTCTGTGTTTCAAGTCCACTGCAGAATTATTTCATGATTAGGATGGCAGAGTTGCTGCTGAGCTAAATACCTGAACTGTTCGAGGTCAGCACACAAAATGGAGGCAATGACATATGTTCCTTTACTTCTGTGAGGGTCCAAAACAATTTGAAGGTGATATATTAATTGTTACAGCTTTGTACAATGGCAAGCTTGAATCTTTGAAAGAAGCTGACAGCTTTGGACACAGTGTTATCCATCCCAAAGCACACTTATAACCTGATGGCTTCTTTTCAAAATTATTACAATGGAATTTTATGCTTAGCTTGTCATTGTAGAGAACATTCTCTTTGGAGAAAATAATTTGTGTTCAGCATCTGAAACAAACTTCATGGCTAGCGGGATTAGCTGCTGCTGGGCTGCAGTTCCCAGTAGTGAAAGTGATCTTAAACCTCTTGCAGAACAGACACATTTAACACTAAGGAGAAAAAGACCATTACACTGCCGGAGGGATGTCATTCAGAACCATGCATACCTCCTACCAGCAGAAATTAGAAAACAGCCCATTGCGTACCATTTTATATTTATAAAAATCATGTTAGCTGTGTTAAGCATGTGCAGTCTAGGATGTTGAGTATTGATAGTGAATGACTTCCTGCATTTATCTTTTTGCTTTAGGAAAAAAAAAATCTGTACTTTTTAGGTATCCTAACTCAATTTCTGCCATGTGGCTTCTGAAATATTTCTATGTGCCTCTAGGATCTCATAAGAGTTCACAGTGAGTTAGTTGTAACTGGTGATACTATCTGAATGGTAAACTTTTTTCTCTTACTGTTCTGTTAGCAAATAACATCATTTCATCTTGAAATGGGGAACTAAGAGTTAATGTTTTCTGCCTCAGCAATGGCTCATGGCTTGCTTTTGTCCAGCAAATTGTTACTTCCAGTCCAGACAGCAACTGATTGAGTATTTGATACTGCACAATCTACCAGGTACAAGCGGTTTCAAACATAGTTTTCTTCCTTTTCTTAACTATGTGTGACTGAAAAGAGGCAGAGTAGAGATAACAATCTGTTTAAACTGGACTTTAATGATACACTCTGTATAACAAAGAAAAGATTGCAGTTTTGCCAGAAGAGCTGAACACAACAGCCAGAGATAATTGCTTTAAGAAATGAAGAACTATTGTGATGGCAGCCATTCTTGCAAAAAGGAGCTGGCACATTCTAGCAGAAACCAAATCTGCAGCTGGAAACAAAGACAGAGACTAATCAAGTGACTTGTCAAAGATTATTCAGGAGACCTGTTAAATAAACAGTGTGAGAATCCAGTCCCTTATTGTGGACAGAATTGTCCACTGGCTGTGAAGGAGATAACCTTCTGCTACCCAATTTAAATTTAAGTATATTGCCTTACTAGCTAGTTGCATCTGATGATATAAAAACACTGGCAAACTAGCAATATGTAGTTAAATAAAAAATTGAGAAATTCCCCGCTTGTTTTAACTACAAATGAGTTTTCAACAGATTCATTTTGAACAACTGAAGGATAGCTTTTTTTTCTTCTTTTGAGCTGCTGAAGTGATTAGTAGTTAGGTGTTTGAGTTTATGATGTACTGGGGAGTGGGGGGAACCCAGATAATACAAACTCTTCCTGACATTTTGGATTTTAGAATTCAAATACTAGCTTCTTTAAAGAAGTTCTTGAAACAATTAGTGAAGTGAAAGAATTGTCATTTTCATGTGATTTCTGTGTTCATTTCTAGTCTGATGGTTAGGAATAGAACCCACCCCCCCACCCCTCTACCCCCCAAGTAAGAGGCAGGAAGTGGCAAAAGGAGTTATTTGCAAGGTTGTCCACCATATATCAGACTTGGTCTGGCAGCCAAGGGAACAGGCTATTGTTAATTTGAGTAACTTCGATTCAGGCTGACAATGAACAGTGCAGCATGTTCAGTGACAAAAAAGATGAAGATTGCTGTAACTTGCTGGGCTATTTGGCTTTTCCTCTAGCAATGCTGGAGATATGTTTCTAGTAAGGAGGCACTGAGCATTTAACAGGTGGCAAATTTCTAATTCTACCGTACAGGTTGCAAGCATCATACTTACTCTTCCTAATGGAATTGTGCAACACATTGGTTTGTTACTCTGGCAGTTTTATCTAATGTAGCGCTTAATGCTGAAAATTATTTGCATAGCATTACACTAAGTATGCACCTGTTAATTCCAGAAAGTATGGGTCCAGTTTTAGCCTCACTGTCTTACTAAAAAACCTTGTTTGCTCTACCTTCTTGAAATGTTGCTGGGTTTTGTTTTGTTTTGCTTTGTTTTTTAAAAATTTCTGAAGCAGCAAACTGTTTTAGTAAGAACTTCCAGTACTCTATGCAGTCTGTTGTTCATACTGCTTTTTGTTTAGCAAACTTTATCTCTGGATTTCAGAAGTAGACTGTGCTGAGCAAACTCTCATCAAAATGTAAACCTTTTGCCAGGTCCACTTGGATTCCATTTTAATCACTTGGAATAAATCTTAAGTTTCCTGACGTCTTTGTGTCCCCGTGCATGTGTTGGTTTTGGTTTGGTTTGGTTTTTGTTTTTTTCCCCCCCTCCATTTAAAAGCAGTTCTGTTTCCCTTCTTCCACGCACACCCTTACCATTCGTATGGAGCTCCCGTAGGCAGCGGTGGTAGGAGCCGAGCAGAGTAAAACGCTATCAGTGCCTGTCGCGGGCCTCTCAGTTGCCTTCCTATGGAATGTGGAGGAGATGAGAGAAAACAGGAGGGAGATGAGACGGGCGTGCACAGACAGTCCTGGAGCCTAGAAATGGCACTCTCTGCTATTCCTGTATCTAAATCACCTGCAAGCCTCCAAGTGGGTAATTTGTGTATTTTTATGTCTCTTACAGCAAGTGAGTTTATGGAATAGGAAGAGAGATTATATCAATTTCTTAAAGAAACAAAAAAAAAATTGCTCAACTCCATTTCGCTGGTAGTGTAAGCAAAGTTGTCAGAAATATTTGCTTCATTTTTCCTTCAGCTTTCTGTGTTATTTAAACAATGTTAGATACACTTCAGATAGCTTTCTGTAGCCACTTTGTTTTAATAGGTAATGAGAGCATTTTCAGCTGTGTGCACAGCAGCAGTAGATGGTTCAGTTGTTCTGATCTGCAGCTAATACATCAATCACTGCATATCCTGGCTGTATTACAGGCTGACTTTACACACAAGGCAGGGCTGCTCTGAAGACAGGAACGTGTTTGCACTTGGCATTGCAACCTGAAAATACCGGTTCTTTCTCATACCCCTGTTGCTTTTCTGTCCTCCATGGGGCCTGCTGTGAACTTCATGGCACATAGTTTAACAAAAGGAGTGTTGCTAAGTATATAATTCATCTGTATTAGTTGCAAGGTGACATTTGGGATTGATCAAATGAGGTGGTGTTACCTGGGCATTGTGAACCATGCAGGAGATGGTGTGCTAGGTAGCTTGCTCTGGCTGTTGAGTCAATGTAATTATGTTGAATAGGGTGCTGTGTTTACTGTTTAACTGAGTCACCTCCTTTGGAGGAGGGAGCTGTTCACTATGCACAGCACTTGGAAGTAGGTCTCTACCGCTAGCTGTATGTTAGCTTTCCGGATTTATCTTTAATTTCTGGTCTAAACTCTTCAGCAGTGGGAGTATATGCAATTATTTTAGGGAGCATAGCGTATATGTGTAGATGTTTCTCTTAACCTGCCATCTATAGCTTATTTTTCACATGCTGTTGTACGCACTATAAGTGAAGCCATTATTTTGGCTTCACGTCTAGTATATAGCTTATAATTAGCATTAGTAGGTGAGGCAGTAACTTCTGTCCTCCCATGTGACAGCTGCTAAAATGTCACCTGTGAATAGATTTTGGATAATTAGGTAGAGCTGACCCTTATGTTTGGACATAGACGGCTTTGCTGTTACTACACTTGAGTCATCTAAAGAAATGCCTGAAAGCCAACAATATTTGTTTTGTCTCTCCCCTTCCACCCCAAGTAAACATCACACAGAACTGAGTGCCAGAGTCTCCAGCTATGATTTATGCCTCTCTGGCACATTGTCACTGGCTGACCTACTAATGTTTGAATTAAGTGTTTGTTTGGACAGGATGAAAATTTTAGTAATTGAAGTGGTTTGTCAGTACATTTCTTTTAAAGTAGATAATGCTTTCTTGAAGATTGGCTTTAAATAAGGTACTACAGGGTGTTTCTGTTGTTCAAAATGGACATTTTGCATTACAAACTTTGGTGAAAGGATCTTTGATGAGCACTGAGAGCACTGTGAATTGTGAAAGATTTGGATTATATTGTTTTAACAAACTACTTATTATTCCAAGATGGTCTTCACTAATAGGGTTTTTTCCTTTTTTGTTCTTTCTGTGAGATTTCTTTATTGATAATTCAATGAAAGTAATTTATTTTTCAGCATTGGTTGGACAACACAAAAAGCATTAAAAAGCAAGTTAAAAGTAAGTGTCCTTTCTGTTTTCTCTTGGGATCTCGTATTGAACATACAGGAGGCACAGAGAGTTGAAATGGGTGGTGTGGGGCAGTGTCCTGTGGGGGGTGACAAGACCTGGTGACAAAAACCCGGCATGGTGCTGCCGATTGTTTAATGGCCTCTTCCCTCTTTAGCTCATATTAGTTTAGTCTAATGCCCTTAATTAAACATGTTATAGGCTCATTAATTATAGTTCAAGTGGAGTCAAGGCAGCTGAGGATGTTTCGGTGTTATAGATCATTATCCTGACTATAGGAAAACTTGTCTTGGAGCCTCCATCCCTTGGGGCAGTCCTGAATGCCCAAATCTGTGTTTGTTCCACCAAGTCCTTATCTGCTGCACAAGGGTTTAGTGTAGCCTGGTTGTTTCAGTGGTGCGTGCTTGGGTAACCTGTGACATTGGCTGATTTTTGTTTAGCAGCTTCCTTGCTCTACGCTGTGGGAAGTCTTCAGGGATTTGTGGTGCTGTGTTAATACAACAGAGGTTTTGGAAGCACCGAGAGAGAAAATTCCTCCTGTCAAATGCAAGAATCAGCAGAGCGCTGCACATTTTTAAAGAACTGTTAATCCATCCTTTTGCAGAATTAACTCTTTGGTTTCCAGAAAAGATGATTTTTCCACAGAAGAGTCTGTTAAATCCCCCTGAAATATGTCTAAACTTCTGTGGAATGAAGGGTCCTGAGTTGTCAGCAGTGGGTATTTCCCAGAGCCTTGGGAAGGCATTACAGAGACCGACAGAGTGCCTGGGGGTTTGGTCATCTGCAGAGCCAAGATGCACAGCTTTCTTGGTGATGGATAGAGTCCTTAAATATAGGGATTAACCTAGATTCGTGTGCTCTTGGCAGGACAAACCAACCTAATGTGATATGACTATTGGATTGACTTGTAACATATAACACTATTTTGTGCATATATTTAAGTGTCCTTTCACCGTGATGTTTTTCATGCATTTCCCTGTCACAAAGGAATTCCTCCTGCCTTAAGACCTTGTGGTAGGACAGAGCCAATTTCAGTCAAGTTTTGTGATGTGATTCTGTGTAATAAAAAAGTAAGATGTCTCATCCAGTTACTGTTACCACTGTCTTGAATGAATTCTACTTTGCAGTTGGCCCACCGTATTGTCTGCATTTTCGTGTCAAGTTTTACTCGTCAGAGCCCAACAATCTACGTGAAGAGCTAACAAGGTAAGAGGGATTTTGTGTGTGAGAGAGGTACCCAAATAAGGCCAGGAAAATGTTTTTGTGGTATTTATTTACACAGTTGTATGGTGTTTTGGAGAATTCCTTAGAGCTGCTTGTTTACTTGGCTTTTTGTAAATGTTTCTAATGTAGCTGTCATGAAATAAATGAGCTCTAATATAGAGATCTATATATTTACTATGTTACTCGATGCACTATTTTTTATTAGGCAATTCTGGCAACTGATCTGAGTAGCTTATACACAATGGACAGAGGTTTTTACTGAAGAGAACAGACATCATTCCTCTTTCTTTATTCTAAGCTGCATTTAGTTTCAACTGTATGCAGTCATCCCATCTCTTTAGGCAGAAAAGCATTGAATTGCAAGTTAGAGCTTCTCTTTGGCAAAAATAAGTTCAGTTAATGTTTCATTACTTCTGTGGTCTTTGCACAGCTTATGGAAAGGGAGAATAGTATTTTACTACCATGTTGAGATGTGAGTTGACAGTACTATATGTGTAGGATTGTAATATCAGGTGAACAGCAGTTTCTCTTGATTAAAGCATTTCACAGCTCCATTCATAATGCTGCATTTCCTGTTGGACTGAGACATACTTGGGGTGCTTTGAAAGAGAACACAACCAACCATCTGTCAGTAGTATAAATCTGTTGTAAAAGGCAACACTTGCATTGTCACCACTGCTGATGATCCGTTTTGGAGAGAAAACGAAGTTGTTATGTTTTCTTGATAGCTGGAGATGCTTCATACCCTCAGCCATTTGTAAGAGCGTGAAGTGCATTTGTTTGTTGTTCAGGTTTATGTCTGTGTGAATCTTCGATCTGCACTTTAGCCAAATCCCAGAAGTGCTACCAGGAAGATTATAGTAGCATTACGCCTTACAGCCATATGTACCCTGTGCAGCTTCATACTTACGTGTGATGACATAATGTTATAACTGCTCTTTTTTAATGCTTTCCTGCCGATCTGGGACGAACGTTTTATTTCCCCATTCATGTTTGTGAATAAACATTTAACTGTCTTTAAAAATAGTAACCATAGACAAAATTCGGACCTACATCTGTATCTACCACTATGAAACATTTTCATCCATCCTGACTGAGTTCTGCCAGTCAGACCTGGCTATACAGGTTTTAGGAAGGCAGGCCTGAAACCCGAGGGCTTTTAAACCCTGTCTGTCTGCTTAGCTAATCCCCCACAACAGGAAAGCAGCAAGTCTTCTGTCTCGAGACAATTTTGTGCCTTAAAGAAGCAGTTGGAAGGGGAGCTCTGCTGTGGGTTATAGGTGTTGCTAGCAGGGGCTTTCTGAGGGTTCCACCTTTTCTTTGTGCAGCAGGACACCCAGCTGGAGCCACTTTTCAGCTTCCACAGGTGCAGCTTGCTCACGTTTTCTGCCAGCTTCCCATCAGATGCCACCAGGCAGAGGTCATGTAACACAGCCTAAGCAAGGGAAGTATGCTTGAATTGTTTGCAAGCATTATGTGGCTGATAAGCACGGACTGGTCACACCCTATATACTAGAGGCCTGTGCTCATTCTTTTGATATCTAGGGTCAGTACCAAACAAATTTATCCCCAAGTAGAGGACAGTGTTCAAAAGGCTTTGGATAACAAATGGCTTGGCAAAGTATTTGTGGATTTCCAAGGGACCTGTAGGAAAAATGCCTGCATCTGTTTCATGTCTATGTATATAAGTATGAGGAGACATATGCACATGTTGAAACAGAAGCATCGTTTTTGGCTTTGTGCGTAAGGCTTCTGTTCATCTGTAGTTGAATTCAAATTGGATACCATTGCGGATGACAGCATTTTAGTTGGTGAGACTGCTTCTCTTGTTAAAAGAAAGCTGTGTACCATAATGAAGCAAGAGAGCAACTCTTTGTGGGTATTGGATCAGAAGGATTGGTGTTGCACACCAAAGGGACAGGAGATTTGTATTCAATATTTGCCCAATTTCTAAGCAAGAAGAGTACTGAATAAGCAAGACAGTGAAGGAAAACTGGCTCTGAAGGGTAAAGAAGTTGAAAAGGCTGCAGCCTACTGGTTTTTTTTTTTGTCACTTTGCAGTCAGTTTTCTGGGTTAGATTTTAACTAAGCAATCCATATTAGGAACATTTATTTATATTTATTCATTCTCTTATGAGATCGATATGTCTATGAAAAATGAAGAAAATGTGGAAGATGCAAGTTGTTCTTTGCCCAAGTAGGATCAGAAGAGAAAAAATGAGACTTACTTAGGTATCCTATTTCTTCTTCCATGCAATACTGTAGTTCAGCTTGTGACAACTTCTAGTTTTGGGTGTACTTCGTTTGAAATGTGTGCAAAACATACAAACCCAACTGATAAAGCCTTGAAAGATCACAGTGCGGTTTCTTCAGTCTTGAAAACCCATGTAAAGAGTAGAAAATGTTTTTATTTGGCAGGCTCTAACTTCCTCTTCTTGGCTGAGTGACACATTAGAACTATTATCAGTGACTTTTATTTCTTATTTAATCCTACAGGTATTTATTTGTTCTGCAGCTTAAACTGGATATTCTTAGTGGAAAGTAAGTATTCCAAATAAACAGCCTTTTAAACAATTACAGTGTGTTTAGCATAGAATTTGTTAAACATATTTGGATAATTAGTAAGTTTTGCTAAGTAATGTAATGTTATTTTTTTCTCTAAAATATTACTTTTCTACACATGAATAGCAGCATAGGAACGCTTAAATAATGTCCTGCTTCTCTTGTTAATTTGCTGAAAATCTACTAATCCTTTTTCACATTCTTATCCCAAACGTTTGCAGTTTCTCACTGTTGGGTATATATGAGTTGTCTGCTAAATTGTGTCAGCTAAGGTTTTAACAATGCATTTCTCTTTCGGCAGATTAGAATGTCCTTTTGACACAGCCGTCCAGTTGGCAGCTTATAACATGCAAGGTGAGTAGATACGAGCGGGGAAGGATGAAGTTGTATGAACAGCTTTGTGTAGACTCTTACTACCTCTTTTAGTCTGTCCTTGTTATATCCAGAAAATAGGTTCTGCCCAGGCATTAGCGATCCAGTGTGAAACACAGCTCTTTCTGATTGTAATTTTGCTGAGAGCGTATGTAAAAAATTACTCAGGAAACAGAACAAGGAGGTTCTGAACATAAACAGCTTTGCCCTAAACTTGTTTTCTCAGGTGCTTATGTGCAAACCTGTCCACTTTCACACAAGATACGATGTCTGCAGACTTCCTGAATTGCTTTGATGTAGTAACACAGTTAACTTTTTTTTCATCGTGTGGTTTCTGCCATGTGTTTTCTTTGTTGTACAAATCAGGTACAAAATTATTTTGGTTCTGCACTCAATTGAAAAGTCCTGTATATAAAAACCACCAGCTTTTGACTTCAGCTTATTTGTAGAAACATGTTAGTGCCCCATATTTCACGCTTGTACTTGAGCGTTTATGGTTGAACTGCACTTGTTGGTATTTCAGATCCTTCTTCAGGCAAAAGAGGTGACATAGTATATTTTTTCTCAGCTATATAGCACTATGCTTGAATCATGTGAGACTCTTATTAATGAGTTGTCTTTAACTTTTGATTCCAGTTGAGGCTCCAGCATCCATAGCTGAGAACTGTGGTCTGACCTTCATTTGCTTGTATAGGTTGTACATCACTGATCTTCACGGCCAATGTCTTCTGTTGTTTGGATGAGGGTGTGATCTTAATGAATGTGAAGTTTGCTGTGGTTTCAAGCAGGGGAACTCACGAAAGAGGGGAGGCTGGAAGTTTTAGAAATGTCTGCTAGAGTAGGCTTTTGGGTCCTTATTGGAGGATATAGCTATACGGCCTTATTCAGCCCAGTTTATGAGTCTACAAAAAATCCCAGAACCTCTGCTGTAAAGCTGTTGTACAGTCCTCTTTGATGAAGAGGGCATTTGGAGATGTGCCATGAGTTTGTGCCACACAAATTCTCTACACAACATTAATCTTATAAACCAATGCACTGTTGTACTTACTTTGCAGGAGTTAGGTAACGGGACTAAGTCACTGAAATTCTTTCTCTTACAGATATTTTCCAAAACATATTTTGTTCTTCAGGCAGGAACTACTAATGGCCCTGATCATGTGTAGGTATAGAGAATTGGGATTAAACTGTAAAGACACCTGCCTTTTTAACCTGCTCTTTTGTGTGGAAGGAAAACAGTTAGAATACATTCCGTAGTTAAAAATATTAGCATCGTTAGAGCCTTAAGATACGGGTTCAGTGGATAAGTTTTTGGAAAAACAAAGTGATCTAATTAGGCCATATATCCATTGTTTTTTGTGCTGGTCTTTTCTTTCCTCTCTCCACAATGAGGCCCGTAGCAGGGCTTTAATCTTACTGTCTGACAGCTGTGTACTTTTATTTAAATCAGCTGGAACCTAAGCTGGCTTTGACAGCATTCCTTTCAACAGAGGCAGGCGTTTTAGTGGGAGTAAATTATTATAGAACTACAGACTTCCTCAGTCAGCATTACAAAAAAAAAAAAAAAAAAAAAGGAGGGGGTGAAAAGACTATTATTATGCTTGCAGTGTTCAGAAATCCAAGAAACAGGTTTTTAGATAGTATGTAGGTTTTGTACCTATGGAATACTGTGTGTATTTATTTGACTTTTTCAGGTCTTCCCAAAGAGGTCACTATTTTTTTCCTACACAAACATCTGTAGTTTCTTTTTTCAGACAGAACAATTATTGGCCTGTATCAGATACCCAAGTTCCAAGTTATAGAATTATTCCTAATTTTTTTGATATAAGACGAACATTAAGAAGCTGCTTGAAATCAGTGGGAGGAGCAAATGCTTAGTGACTCTGAAAATCAGGACATTTTTATAAAGGTTTCTAACTGTGAGCTTCAGCATTTTAGGCATACATCAGTCTTTAAAAGCTGGACTTGTTAGCATCTATGGAAAAAGGAGGTTGTGCTTTTGATGTGACACACCCATTGACTAGTATGTTCCAGTATGCTCTCTAAATAGCATCTCTTATTGCCCCTGTTGAGCATGCAGCCGTGGACTAGATGAGCCATTTGACTGACCCAGTAGGGCATTTATTATGTTCTTAGATGAAAAGGACAGCGACAAATAACAACTGCATGATTGTGCCCTGACACAGAGTAATTTTAGCAGGACAGGGGGATTTATAGTCATAAAACCAGAAATTGATTTTTAGAATGGACAGATAGTTCTATGAAAATTGTCAGAACTCGTTTTGCTTTCTACAAATCTCAAGAAATTTCATTTTGATAATTTAAGGCAAAATTCCATTGTAACTTTAGTCAGCTGTTGTCTCAGTAGAGACTTCAGTGACAAAAATGTTGAAACCTTTCTGCAAGAAAGAAAAAAGGTGAATTTCAAGGATGTTGATAACTTCCACTTATAGGAAGCTTGTTAAGGAATATATCCATAGCACTTTGTAAAAATTGGAAAATGGAAAATGGAAAGCTTGTATGCAGACAACACGACCATTTGTTCAGTGTCCGTAATTTCCCTGTCAAAAAAGGTGACGCTTCAAATATTGGGAGGACTGGAGGAGAAAATAAATTTAGTATTTTAGATTAACTAGAAAAGTATGCAAAAGTTCCTGTTAATATCCACTGTGTTTATTGGGAACATTGCTTGACAATGCTGTTCTTTTGTAGCTGAACTTGGAGACTATGATCCTGCTGAACACGTCCCTGAACTGGTGTCTGAGTTCAGGTTTGTTCCCACTCAGACTGAAGAGATGGAACTAGCCATTTTTGAGAAGTGGAAGGAATGCAGGTATTTAATCTTCCAGTGCATGCTAACCAGCTGTTTGCACTACTTTTTCTGTGAAGAGAATGTATTAAAAAGATGCTGCTGATGCTTCTTCTGTCGTCTTGTTCAGAAACATAATTCTAATATGGTTCTGCAATATTTTGTAAGAGGATATAATGTGAAAAATGAAGCTTTTCAAAGGTCTGAATAAAATGATGAGGTACAGAATCTTGAAATGCAATAATTTTTGCAGCAGCGGTTTCAGATTAAAACTTACAAAAGTGACCTTGATGTTCATGAAAGCGAACAAGCGTCAGCAGTGTTTAGGTTTTTCACAAACTTTCAGGAATTTCTTTTCCTCATATACCAGTTTTTCCTTTCTGTGCTTTTTCAGGCATCTACCTAACAGCAAAAAATTTATTTCAGGGGGCAAACACCAGCACAGGCTGAAACTAACTACTTAAACAAAGCTAAGTGGCTGGAAATGTATGGTGTAGACATGCACATAGTCAAGGTATGTTTAACCACAGCATGGTGACCTTTGGAAACGATAATGTTAGCTTTGTCCTGCATTTCAACACTGGTTTTGCTTTGGGGGCGGGGGGGGAGGGAAGGAATATTGTACTCATCTAAACTGTGTAACAAGTGATCTGGCTTTGCATCAACATTCCATTTTATAGTATACGTTTCTAGAAAGTATAACTTTAGTCCAAATATATCTGTTCTGTGTTAAATATGTGATTGGTGTGGCAATAAGTACTACAGTTTGTATTTAGACTAAGAGCTATGTGAAAATCATAGTAATTAAATTAAAATTGGCTGGGGTCCAGTCAGCTGGCAGCCGAAGAATTACAAGTAAAAATAGATCTCCTGTGGAGAAGGAAGTGCAGAGAACTGCACAAGGAGGTCCTTATTACACAGACAAATCAAGAAACTTTAATTTTCCACTTTCGTCAGCCTTATTGAAGGGTTGCAAACTAGAAAAATCCATTGCATAAGATCATTGAAACACGAGAGTTTTGTTGTATAAAATAAGCAGGTATGTGTTTAATTGTAACACTGGGCAAATAAGCTACATTAATCGGTGGAGTAATTTGGATAAAGGGCCAAGCACCAAAATGAGCATAATCTTTATTTTGTGGCCATTAGGCAAGAGACGGCAATGATTACAGCCTGGGACTAACACCTACAGGAGTTCTTGTCTTTGAAGGAGACACAAAGATTGGTTTGTTTTTTTGGTAAGCTCTCTGATTGTACATTAAAATGTATTTTAGATGTTTACTCTTTTGTTTCTTTTACACTAGCCAAAAGAAAAATTTGTTTGGGATATGAGAGCACCGTGAATGCTAGGTAACTGCAGAAATGTTCTGTAGCCTGTGAGTGTTTTCATGGTGTCCAAAAATATTTCTTTTTTTAACACTCTTTGTTGATATGTTAATAGGCTGTATATATGTAACATGCTAGAGGCAAGTAAAAGATGGAATAACTTTGGGATGTTTTTATTTTTTTTATAGTGTGTTTGTAGTTGTGTTTTTGTTGTGGTTTAACCGGGCAGGCAGCTAAACACTACACAGCCATTCACTCACTCTCCCTGCAGTGGGATGGGGGAGAGAATCGGGGGAAAAAAAAAGTATAACTCGTGGGTTGAGATAAAGACAGTTTAATAGGACAGAAAAGGAAGGGAAAATAATAATAATAACGATAAAAGAATATACAAAATAAGTGATGCGCAATGCAATTGCTCACCACCCGCCGACCAATGCCCAGCCAGTTCCTGAGCAGTGGTTGCCGCCCCCCGGCCAGCTTTCCCCTAGTTTATATACTGAGCATGAATGATGTCATACGGTATGGAATATCCCTTTGGCCAGTTTGGGTCGGCTGTCCTGGCTGTCCTCCCAGCTTCTTGCTGACAGGGCATGAGAAGCTGAAAAGTCCTTGACTATGTAAACACTACTTAGCAACAACTAAAACATCAGTGTGTTACCAACATTATTCTCATACTAAATCCAAAACACAGC